CCTAATACTAGTGTGAATATTGACATTTTTGCTGTTAAAAAATGCATTTTAATGATCTGGCCCTCCCAAACAAGGTTTAGCAACGCTAGCTCCGCCACTAATATTACCATACGAATCATCCACAGTAGCTGCAGAAATCAAGGCCATTCGAAGTGGAATAATGCTAGCGTCTAATATCGGATGTACCAAGATTATCATGGAATCTGATAGAATGAACGCTTTGGAGGTATTTCCTCATCCGGAAGCATATATGGGTCCTGATACTCCGATCATTACGGAAGCCACTATCTTAGCCTTGGAGTTTTCTGATATTACTTTTGTCCAGTGCTACAGGGAAGCAAATCTAGTGGCAGATGGTTTAGCTAAGCATTGCTTTAGTTTAAATGCTTTAGAATATTGGGAGGGGGATGCTCCTGACTTTATTCTTCCCCAGACTGTAAACGACATGGCTATTATTTGAGGAATAAAGTTTGGTATGTTAAAAAAAAAACAATAGTATTCCCCGCAATGAGCATGGAACAGAATTTTCCTACTGCCAAGCTTCGGCTTTTCTCGGACAAAGGGAAATATACTAATATTGAAAATATACCAATTGCACTCGACCTTTGCACCGATACAACAGCACTAACAAGCTTTGAGAATGCATACAGCCACATTATTAAAAGAAATGAAAAAACCTATATTGTAATTCACCTTTTTTAATAGCCATTATGAAACAAGCAAAGCTGATGCATCATTGATGTTATTTCAATCTTTTTATTTTTACCTGCATGGATTGGTTCCCAGTTTCTGTTTTTTTGGGGTCTAATATTGCTATATTTTCCTTAAGAATATATCACAAAAAACAGTAGTTCATAGCAAGGAACTTCCCCCTGGGTTTTGGATCAACATTTTAAGATTACAGGGTAACAGTATTAATAATCTTACTTTTATACATCCATACCAAAAAGTGTGGTGGAATATAATGAATGTGAAGACACCAGGTGACTTTCGAGGTAGCATTGAGGTTGTTGTCACAAGATCAAATATGTGAGCGTTCAGTATTCATCATGCAATTTGGATCAGCCTCAAGCCTACACATACCAGGTATGGAAAATAAAGTAAAATTGCAGCTCTGCGTGATTGCGGAAGTTGAAGTAAGCTACAGGTAAGTCATCGATTATCATAGTTGTTTACTGCCATTCACATTTTCTAGATACTCTTTGACCTTGTACCAAGCATTATACGTTTGATTGCTATCAATTGACTACAACCTACAGGTAAATTTATGTGAGAAGTGCATTGCACGTGCATGATTACTAGTATAACAGAAGCAACGAACTGGTTCTTAGAAAATTTTCGAGCTTCTTCAGTACATAATATATGTTCCGTCTTCATCCCCAAGGGAAAATAGACAACATGTTCTAAAAGGCATCCACAGAAGAGCAGCTCCAAAGATGAAAGAGTCATGTTCAAAAAAAGGATGAAAGAGTCTGCCAGTCACAAGACCAAAATCCACAAAATCCAGGTATCCAACTAGCTCCCAGCACAAAAGACCAAAACACTCTCTGTACAGCAAGCCATCCTGCCGCGGAAGAGCTCCCTGTCATCCTCTGCATTTTACAATTACAAGGAAGCAATGGAGAAGAGAAGCTGTACAGCCGGAGATTACCTGAACCTCTTTTCAAATATTCACTTGATATGAGCCGCCCACGAAACACAGCGTCCTGGCTTCCCAAGCTAAGAGCAGCAAATAGATTCATCACGAGTCTTTAAATTTTTGTCCCTTCAAAACTTGAGCCGGCTACAAGCACAAAATTCAGTAAAAGAAAATGGGGACAAATGAAAGTAGACACGGAGCAGAAGAAAAACAGAGAGATGTGACTCAGTGACACCAGGTAGCATTGAACATTCAAGGACAAGATAAATGTGAGACAAGAATCAAAGAGTAGAGATCACTTTCACAGAACATGTTATTGTGTATGACTTTACCTAGCAAATCATAATTCTGTTCCATGAAAGGAACAAACTATGCATTCCTGTACCCGTATGTTGCACTAGAGCAGCATATTATATTTTGAAACACCACATTAAAAGCTTGTTTGTTACAAACTGACTACTATATGCATACAGCAATATAGCAACTCATTGGCCAAACTCCTGAAATTGCCATACAAAATGGAACGAACAACAACTGCAAACCTTCTCATGCAAAATGTATCGGAGATTAACACAATATACGTTGAAGGCACAAAAGTACATTTTCATCGATGCATGCATCAAAACATTGTCTCACTAATTGTTCACATTTACTACATAAGGTAAACAGCCAGTACGATGCATTATTCACCTCATTAGTGACATCTACTCTATAAACTCAGCAGGCTTCCCACGTAAATGCCAATGGATTCGGAATCTCTCAGTTTTAGAGCATCAGCATAAGTGCCATTTCTTGGATTATAACCTTGCAGAAATCCCTCAGCACCAGCTAAACATTGTAGATAATCCGACCGAGTAAAGAAAATTCTCCCATCATCTAACATCAGAAAAGGATACCCAAACCTAGCAACATGTGATGAAGGCATGCTGTATTTCTTAACCCAGGTATCTTTCTCAAAATCTGTCAAAAACCACAAGTCCATAGATGTTTTATGAATACTATGAACCATAACTAAGCAGCCGTTCAACTCAGCCAATGATAACTCGAGTTCAAGTATCAAGTAATCGGAATTCTCGTTCTCTTGCACAAACCTCTGCACCTGTTCTGGGCCACGTAGAACACGCCACTCTTCTGTCTCGAGGTTGAACGAAGCTACGCTACCAGGCTCAATGGTCATAACCCCAGTTTCAAAGTATGTGGAGGAAAAGTCCATCAAGAAGTACACCACCCCATCAACGACCACACATCTCCTCAATATCTTGTGACAGGGAGAGATAAGGGATGGCGGAGGGTCCTGCTTTCTCCTCCAGCTTCCATGTTTGGTGGCATCAAAGGTGATAACCTCACATACCTTTCGGTCACCAATTTCAGAGACGCGGAGCGCCTTGTACTCTCTGGTAGAGGAGACCTGCCCAAAAGCATAGGACTTGACTCCGCAGCACCATTCCTTTATCCCCTTTGCTTCTAGCTCATGTGCCAATTCCTCCGAGAAGCCCCTCGGCAAGGTGATGGTATCTCCGGTGGCCGGGTTCAGCACCCAGAAGTCCCCAGAGCAGAAGCTCCAGTTGAAACAAACAAGGTCAAGCCGCGTGCGCGCAACACGGATGGTATCGTCCTTGCTTGACATCCGCCCACTGGCAACCCCTGACAACTCGTCCACCAGAACAATTTCATACCCGGCGCTCGGTATCCGCTTCACCACATTGCCGGACAAATCCGAAATCTCAACGCCGTTGACCCCACTGTACTCGCGGTAGGCCATGGCGAGGAGTGGGGGCGCCGTGTGGTGGCGGGACTTGTGCGCCGCGACGAAGAGCGGGTCGGAGGTGAGGGCACGCCAGGCGGGGCAGACGACGCGGAGGCGGCAGAGCTCCTTGGCCGGGAGGCAGAGGAGGACCTCGTACAGCGAGTCCTCGGGCAGGTCGCCGGAGAAGGAGGCGGCGGGGCGCGGGCGCACCTCCGAACACGACATCGCCATCGGCTGTGGTAAGTAGTAGATGCCATGGGTGAGCTAGGAAGGGCGCAAAATAAAAGGTGGATTCAGATGGGTCTGTGCCGAGGGGGACTTGGCCTTACCGAGAGCGCCGGCGGCGAGCAGCCTAGCGGCGGGGCGAGCGCCGTGGACGAGGAAGGCGGAGGGGAAAGAGGCCACTGCAGTGGTCGAGGGTTTGGGGGGAGCACAGACTCGCCTACAGCGCCGCGGGATGGGCCAGGCCCAGCAGGACCGGCACATTTTTGTTTCCCTCCTCTCTTTCATTTTTGTTTGGGGGGAGCAGGTTTTTTCTTTCCCTTTTCTCTTTCATTTTTCTTCTCACATTTTTTTTCATTTTTTCTCTATTTATAAATGTTATATATAAAATATACTTTTAATCAGTGTCCACAAATTATAACGAGGAGTATTGGGTATGTGTTCTTAATCAGTGTTCACAAATTATATTCTTTTATTTTTAATAAGTTTCCACGTACTTCAAAAATGTTCATGAAGTTTAAGTAATAGTTAATTTTTTAAAATGTTCGCATTTTTTAAAACCATAAATGATGAAGATTTTATAAATATACTGAACAAACATTTTCTAAATAATGGATGATTTTAAAAAATACACGACAAACATTTTTTTAATAGTCAATGTTTTTTTTCAAAATATGTGATGAACAGTTTTAAAATACCCGACAAACTATTTTAAAATAAATGATGAACATTTTTAATACATATTTATTTTTGGTTCCATCTTTTTTTCTTTTCACCGGCCGGAAATCTATATATGTTCACCGTCTCTTAAACTTTTTAATATATTTTTGCCCAACTTTGCTATCTTTTCCTTGAGAAAATGTCAACAAATATTAGTTCATTGCAAGGATTAAGCTATTAGTGTTTTTACTTCTATACATCCAGACCAACAAGTAGGATGGAATATAATCAATATATGAAGACATTGGATGACTTTCGAGGTAAGCATTGATGTTGTTGTCGCAAGATCAAATGCGTGCAATTTGGATCAGCCTCAGGCCTATACATACCAGTTCAACAACTTTTGTTTGTCTGTGAAATGGAAGACATGATTGGGAAGTTGAAGTAACTAATGAACTGTAGGTAAACTGTAGGTTATCATATACTCCCTCCGTTTTCAAATATAAGTCTTTTTAGAGATTTCAACAAGGGACTACATACGGAGCAAAATGAGTGAATCTACATTCTAAAATATGTCTACATACATCCGTATGTTTAGTCCATTTGAAATAGATAGAAAGACTTATATTTAGAAACGGAGGGAGTATATGTTCATCGTCATTCGCCTTTTATAGATAACCTTTTACCTTGTACCAAGCACTATACATTTGATTGGCACCAATTGACTACAACCCACTCACCAGGAGGCCAACCAACCATTCTTGCCCAGATATAGATTATAAATTTGAAGATGCAGGATAGAGCAAGTTTTTCAGAAATTGATTGATGATTTTAGGTACCAACTATCTTATTCGTTAAACGAAAAGAGTTATAGTAGGCATTAATTCCATCGGATGATACAAACGCATATGGTCCTTGCCGTGCCCACAGAACATCAGATTGTTCGTCTGGCGTGTGAATCATAGTTCCCTAGCTCTTTGTATCAACCTGATGAACCGTGGGGTTAAACTAGACAACACCAAAGTGCTTCTTTTGTGGTCGGGTGGATGAGGATGGGGCCCGTTTATTTGTCAAGTGCAAAGCAGTGAAGGAGCTGCGGCGATTGCTTGAGCTTGAGAGCGTCCGTACGCGGATTGAGAAAGCACAGTCAGTACATGAAACAATGGATGTGCACAGTCAGTACGTGAGGCTAGTGCTGTAACTCATGAGTTCTCTAAGATTGGGCATGGGTGTTTTAATTCTGAACCTTTGTACTGGGAGTCTGCTGTTCCGCTGAATGTGGCTGGTTGTGTTGTGCCTTGGGTGATATGCCCACGCACACGTAAGGAATAAAGCTTTTCTTCACCTCGAAAAATAAATCCATTGGGTGTTAAGGATAAATTTTATGTGAGAAGTGCCATGCACGTGCACGTTTACTACTAGTATACCAAAAGAAACCATCTGCTTCTTAGAAAATTTCAGAGTTTCCACAGTACCAAATATATGTTCTGAACTTCATCCAAAATAAAATAAAACAGAGAACGTGTTCTAAAGAGCATCCACATAGTACAGTACAGATCTAAAAGTGGAAGAGAACCATACAGTTACAAGACCAAAATCTAGAAAATCCAATTATCCAACTAGCACCTTGGGGGAGTTCTCTCCTCATCGCAGAAAAGCTCCTTGCCATCATCTCCATTTTACATGGAAGCAGCAGAGAAGAAAGCTTGTAAATTACCACAGCCAGTGAATATGGGACTTCTTTTTGAATATTCACTCAGTATGAGTCACCCACAGATCAGCAAATAGATTCATCATGAGCACGTTAATTTTGTGTGCCTTCAAAACTGGAGCAGAAGATGAACTACAGGCACAAAATTCAGTAAAAGAATGGTGACAAAGGAAAGGGGCCTTGAGTTCGAAGGATAACAGTGAAACAGAAGATATGACTCATATCGAGTGAAACTGGAGCGGGCTACAAGCACAAGATTCAGTAAGGATGCGTTTGGATTGAAGGAGATGCTGGGGTGGCTATGGGCATCCCTATCCAGCAGGATAAGGATAACCATATTTTCTGTTTGGTTGATGGATGAGATTAGCCTATGTTTTGTTTGGTTTGAAGGTTAAATCCTGGCTGGGGATAGCCATTTTTCTGTTTGGTTGGTGGGTGAGGTTAGCCATTTTTCAAGTTGAGGCAATCAAATATGATATGTACAACAGCAAGTATAAGAACATTTTTAGAATCTTAAGCACCATACCAAAACAAACTCCAGCAAGTTATAATGCACGAAAAAATAAATTTCAGCAAGTTAGAATGCATGAAAGAACAAATTTCAGCAAGTTATAATGCATGGAAGAACAAATTTCAGCAAGTGATAATCCATGAAAAAAGCATTTCAACAAGTAATAGAATATATAGCTCGACATTCCATAGAATACTAGATCAAATATATAGTTATACAACCCATGCATAGTTCAATGTTTTGGTTGTAATCAAAAGAACAAGTCCATACAACCCATAGCTCCATTGTTTTGGTTGTCATCAAAAGTACAAGTCAAACTGCCCATATAAACTCATCATGCTTCGGCTTCAGGGAAGGTACTCTTCACATACCTAGAGACCCAAACCTTTCTCTGAACATCTTCCAAGACCTTGAATGCCGTTGCAACACGAGGATTGTCAACCAAATAGGCATAGTAATGTGCAAGGGAATCCAAATCAAAACCAGGGAGTTCTTTCATCTCATCCCAAAGACCATCAACAGTGGGGTTGGCGCTGCTAACAAGTTTCTCTATGGCAACAGCAAGCCTTTCACTTGAAGCCATTATGGTTGCATGCATCCTGTCTTCTGCGGAAGGATTGGTTTTGGCTTTCTTCAACTTGGGAGCAGCTGACTCGCCACAAGTGGGTGCTTGGGAAACCTCTTCATGAGGGGCAGCAACTTTGTTGGCTTTCGGTTCTTCAAGATCAATCACATCTGTACCTAAAGGGTCACATCTGTAACAAAAAAAGATTAGCATGTTGGATAGAAAATCAATGGAGAAAGCACGCATCAGTACATATGGCCGCCACAGTACACGAAGCAAGTTTGGCTGCACAGCTAGCAAGATTCGCGCAGCAAGCAGGGCCAAGCCGCTAGCAGGCCGGCGTACCGCGCGCAACACCTGCTCTCACGCGGCGCACAACATGCGCACTTGCCGGACAGATGCAGGGCCGGCTCAGGGCCCGCTGTGAGAACCAGAACACAAGAACTGTTCCGATCTATATGAATTTCATTGGAACCGAGTAATTTGAGGGTTTGTGCTGGTACAATTTGGGGATCGGAGCTAAGATACCCCGCCTTACAAGATGAACTAGGGTTTCTACCTATGCTAAGGACTTGGGGAAAATAATGACTTGCCTCCCCTCACGCGACTCACGCTACATATACTCCTTTCCAGCTCACGCGGTAACTCTCTGACAGTCACTTAACGGTTACAACACAGTAAAAGGTTTAAAACTACTGGCGATCGGTGAGGACACATCCGAGCCGTTGGATCGCTTGAAACGCCATCTTGTCATCTCAGTCGTTGCTTGTCTGAAATAGAGTTTGTGTCGATCTTCAGTACTTCCTAGGTTCAGGACCTAACAATGCCGCCGCCATGACAACCGCCTTGTCCTCGAGGTGAAAAAGCTTGCGACCTGGGAAGGTTTTGTTGAGGAAGGCTGCATCTTCCCAAGTAGCATCATCAGGTGCGAGACTCTCCCACTGCACTAAGCATTGGCCAACTGGATTCTTGTTGCGTTGAATCACCATGCGGTCCAGCACAGCTACATGAATAGTTTTGAAATATCCTTCTGCGGTGACCAGTGGAACGTGTGGTAGAGGCACAGCTTGATGGCCTACATGTTTCTTGAGTTGGCTAATGTGAAAAACTGGGTGAATGTTTGTGCCCTATGGTAGATGAAGCTTGTATGCAACTTCTCCAATTCTTTCCAAAATTTTGTAAGGCCCATAGAATTTTGATCTCAGTTTGAGTGATCCTCTGAGACCAAAAGCATTCTGTCTGTATGGCTGGATCTTTAAATATACCATGTCTCCTACCTCAAAAGCTCTGTCTGTTCTATTTCTATCTGCAAAATATTTCATTCTACTTTGTGCATGTTCCAAGTTAGCTTTGAGCTTTTGCATCATTTGCTCCCTCTCTGCCACTGTTAATCTTGCTACTGGCGACAAGGTTGTGTCTACAACAAATTCTCCCACTTGAGGTGGTTTGTACCCGTATAAGGCTTGAAACGGAGTACACTTCAAGGAAGAATGGTAACTGGTATTGTACCACAATTCAGCCAAAGGCAACCACTTCAACCATTTCTTTGGTTCTTGGAACAC